AGTCACATTGGCAAGTCTAGCTACAAGCGGAAATTGCTCACCAGGCACACAGTTTGACTTCTTGGACATTACTGTCTCACCCTGTCCCTGGCCTCAAACTCTGTAGCATTCTTATGTAAAATGTGGTGGTTCTGGATTGCTCACAGCTCTGCTTGTCTTAGAATACTTAGACTGGCAAAATGAAATCCCATCCTCAAGGTTTTTGCCAGTTTTCTAGATGTTAGTCTTAAGTTGCTCTGGAAAGATCCACACCCCATCCCTTAAATTCATGTGAATGATTTTGCAAATATGCAGCCACAATGTTTTTAATGCTATTTCTTTTCCAAATCTGCACCAGGGTGCTTGAAGTATTTTTTTTCTTTTCTTCCAGACATGGAATAAATCATATTTCAAGCACCTTATTTTTATTTTTGCTCTTCTCTCTCCCCCCCCCCCCGCAAATTAATGGTGCTTTCTCAGTTTTGTGGTTGGTTTTCTGGGTAAGTATCTAGCCACATAGGCACTTCATCAACTTCATGCCTTGAGTGACTTGACCAGATGAATTGCCTTCTGTGTGAGCTGCCTTCTGTGTTTGGCTGAGGTTGCTTGTGAGGCTGGGTTGATCTTCCTGCCAGAATTTGTTGTGATCTAATTCTAAAGTTCATTGTGCTTTTCTCAAATATTTGTTAAAGAATTTTTTTAATGAAGTGGAAAAGTTATTCTATGAATCTATTTATTTCTGCAGGAACTGCAGAGGAAGACGAAGGCGATGACCTATTACTGGGGTCTGTGGATGAATTTTGGTGGTTCCCTCATATGTGGAGCCACATGCAGCCTCATCTCTTCCATAATGAATCATCCCTGGTAGAACAGATGATCCTCAACAAAAAATTTGCCTTAGTGAGTTTAATTCATATACTGTGGATTTGGCAGTTTTGCTTCCTAATTCATAGTACACATTTTCCACTCTAATCTCATAAATTTAGTGTTTTCCATTTAGGGAATGTATTGAAATGCCTCTTAGATCAATTTATCTGGGCTGCTGTTCTCAGCTTGTTAAGAAACACATTTGAATTCAGTCATGCTTATATGATGCCACTGGACAAGTATAATAAAATCACAGAACAGGCACAACTATTTTGCAGCACCACCTCAAATTCAAATCAATTGTCATTGCACTTTTACCAATAACAGTCCCATAACTAGTTCGGATGGAAATAGACCCTGGCCACTTTCATGATTTCAAAGGTACATTTTCCAGCCTCTGGGATCAGGAAAATTGCCACCAGCCAATAACCACGTGTTCCTTGCTCAAGAATGACCATGACCATCAGCAGGATCACCAGCAAGATTAAATGCAAGAAAGCTCTGAGCCAGCCCCCAGTGATACAGCTTTGAAGATCATATTCTTAGTCATTATTTGACTCTTGGTCAGAAAATGCTGTCCATTTTGGTACATCCTAAAGTTAAATAGGGTGCTGCTTTATACTGGGCCAACTCATTTTCCCATCTATCTTAGAATTGTCTACACTGAGGGCTCATCCACACTTCTGCTTGTTCCACCTCTTCCCCAAGCAAAACCCACTCTTTACCATGGAATCAGAGCAAACATCGGCTGAGTTTTCTGCAGATTGACAAAGGCTCTGATTCAGTGGTTAAAAAGCAGGTTTTCCTAGGGCAAGTGGCAGAGCAAACAGAAAACTGCATGGACTTTTACCTAGAAAGCATGGGACAAGCAGAAAACCACTTGGACCATTGCGTTCTAGGCACTGGGCAGGCAAAGTGTGGTCGAGCCCTGACTGGCAGCAGTTCTCAGACAGGGTACATTCCCAGCTGTACCTAGATACTGGGGATTTGTCAGGATTTACGATGTCTCACACAAGACCACCTATGAACAAATGACAAGATTACAATAAAAAACTATTTGCTTACCTTTACAATTAAGCTTTAAGCCCCTAAATAAGTTCCCCGAAAACTATTTCTTTTAGCGCAATCCTCTCTCTCTCTCTATATATATATATACATATATATACTCTGTGTGTGTGTGTGTTACACAAGTCCCATTGAATTCAATCAGACTTACTCCAAGGAAATTGGATTTAGTATGAAATTTGTATTTTCAAAATCTTTTTTCTCCGCAATTAGCCACAGTTGTGCTATTAAGTGTACAACAGACACTGAATATTCATATAGAAAGTATTGAAAATACACTGGTTTTTTTCCATTGTAAGTATAAACATTCAGATAAATTGGGAGTATACCTATATATTCTTATTTGTTTTAAATTCACATAAATATTAAAACTATCCCAGGGGAATTATGCAGAACTACCTTTACTGGCTAGCCCTGTTTTGGCTAAGGAAAATTCTATCAAGAATACAGTGGTACCTCGCAAGACGAACGCCTCGCAAGACGGAAAACCCGCTAGACGAAAGGGTTTTCCGTTTTGGAGGCGCTTCGCAAGACGAATTTCCCTATGGGCTTGCTTCACAAGACGACAGCCCATAGGGAAATATCCGGGACAGCGGGGAAGCGCAGCGCGTCTTCCCCACTGTCCTCGGACCTCCTCCGAAGCCTGGCGGCGGGGCGGGAACACCTCCTCCCGCCACCGCCGGGCTTCGGAAGGCTCCTCCGAAGCTGGGTGGTGGGGCGGGAACACCTGCCCCCGCCGCCCGGCTTCAGAACGATGCTCGAAGCCGGGCGGCGGGAGGGAACACCTCCTCCGCCGCCGGGCTTCGGAACGATGCTCCGAAGCCGGGCGGCGGGGCGGGAACACCTCCTCCCGCCGCCGGGCTTCGGAACGATGCTCCGAAGCCGGGCGGCGGGGAGGGAACACCTTCTGAAGGCGGGCGGGGGGCGAAAGTCTTTGTTCCCCCCTGCCTGCCTTCCCGGGAGAGTGGAGAAACGCAGCGCGTTTCTCCGCTGTCCCAGACGGCTTTTGAAGGCAGGCGGGGGGGGGGGAGCAAAGACTTTCGCCCCCCGCCCGCCTTCAGAAGAGGTCCTGGACCTCTTCTGAAGGCGGGCGGGGGGCGAAAGTCTTTGCTCCCCCCCGCCTGCCTTCCCGGGAGAGCGGAGAAACACAGCGTGTTTCTCCGCTGTCCCGGACGGCTTTTGAAGGCAGGCAGGGGGGAGCATAGACTTTCGCCCCCCACCCGCCTTCAGAAGAGGTTTAATTTTCAGAAATATAAGAGTTGGTAAATGGAGAGCCAGTTATATTGATTATTGTGCTACGTACAATATGGCTAGGCATCTTGAACCTTTGTTCAGCAACAGAAGTGTTGAGGAGAAATGTTCAGTGCGAATCAGCAGGCACACAGGGACCAGTTTAGGAATTTAACTTTAAAACAGAATTTTGAAATTGCATTATGCTGGCAGATAGGAATCTCCAAAGGAGACCTAAATTGAATTTAGTGAAATAAAAAAGTAGAGACTTAAAATTACACAGCAGCCTTCGTTTTAAGCTTTAAAGTGTAAGGCTTATAAAAAAGATTATTAAAATCTGGAGGAAAAAGATTTGCCATTATCTAGGCATATGGGGTTCATCCAGGATTTTAAAATAAGCCACATAAGTCTATTTAAATTAACAAGTTATTCAGGGAGGATAATTTGCATGTTAGATATCTTGATAGAACACTGCTAGAGATACAACAAAAGAGAAACCTTGGTGGCATTACTGTTGAATGGAAGTCATGATCATTACAGAATGGAAGACACAAAGGCCACATGCTATTGCACTTGCAACAGAGGAGATCTTAGACAAAAAGTGCACTGAACTAATCAGAAAAAATGTAGGAGGAAGCTACTTTATAAGTTTCCTTTATAAGCTTTCATTAGCATGAAAAAGGAACCTGAAATAAAAGTCTCAAGCTGACATTTGCCCAACCTGCTGTAGCTTTTGAATATATTCTGTTCAGAAGGAAAGAAACAGAATGTCAACTGGAATAACAATATCATAAGGATCAATGTATGGATTTAACAGGTTGTCTGCATGTATAGACATATATGAAAAGCAAAGCAAGTCATAAAAGTGATTGAATTTCAGAAACTTACATATTGACTTGGGTGCTTTTGTTGTTGTTGTCTCCATGCATTGCGAAATATATTATACCTATCATATTTTATGCAGATGAAAAATGTATGTTAAGTTCCATGGCAGCTGAAAAGCTGGAAAGGGACCTTGCACATTACTTTGTCACTTTTAGTTAATGCTAATAAGGGTATGCTATTATTGCTTTTGGACTTCTTCCTCTAGTGGACCAAAATGTCTGCCTGCCATTTTTGTCATCTTTTCTGTGGCACTGTACCTGAAAGCAAGATGTGAAAGAAAGCGTTATCACACTTGTTCATATATTTGCTTGGGTGAGAGGTCCACAGAGAGCTTTTAAGTGATGAGCTCTCCAGGTTTTTGTTTTGCTTTGTTTCAGGAACATGGCATTCCAACTGATCTGGGATATGCTGTAGCTCCACACCATTCTGGCGTCTATCCTGTCCACGTCCAACTTTACGATGCCTGGAAGAAAGTCTGGAATATCAGAATCACCAGCACAGAAGAGTATCCACACCTGAAACCTGCACGGTACAGAAAAGGCTTCATCCACAAAAACATCATGGTGAGCTGTTTGGTTTCTGATGATGAACATTTGTTTAAAATGGAAGAGAAAGCATCTGATCTCCTCCTCAGTGCTGTGTCAAGAGAAGGAGGAGGGAATGGGGAACTGACAAGCCTGAGATGATTGTAGGTCACATTGAAAGGGGGGGTTTGGCCATTTTTTGAGGGGGGGAATGTATTAAATTAGTTTTAATTTGTGGTTGATTTGATAAGATTTGGAAAATCAATAAAAACAATTTGGCCAAAAAAAAGTTTTTTTCAAAGTTATAAATATCAATGCATTATTAAATATATTAATACATATATAAATAAATTAACAAGTAATCTGCTCATGTGGTGCTTCTTTGCACATTGGTGCACTGGCACAATATGGGGTGTTGCTACTGTACCTATCAATATGCTGCTGCCCCAGGAGTTTGTAGCTTCTCTTTATTCTGTGCATTTTTCTGTACATCAAAATTAAGGTTAAAAAAATCACCCAACAAAGTTAAGCATATTCAAGTTGTACCGGTTACAGTGGGAGAATTAAGTGCATGTTAATATCTCTTCCATTAAAATTTCTGGGACTCAGTAAGTGCTCTGCTTTGGGTAGATCATGCCTCATTCTGCCCTTCCCCTCACTGTTTTTCTGTAGGTTCTTCCTCGACAAACTTGTGGTCTCTTTACTCACACCATTTTCTACAAAGAGTATCCTGGTGGTCCTAAAGAACTGAACAAAAGTATACAGGGTGGGGAACTGTTTTTCACTGTTGTTCTCAATCCAGTAAGTAAATCACATTATTTTAAAACACTTAAAGAAAATAATCATTGAGCTTGTTTTAAAGAGGTCCACAACCTTAAGAAATTGCAAGTTAAACCATTGGCAGTATTTTTATTTAGCTGGTATCACTGATATGTTTAAGGTCAAATTACTTTTGTCACATGTATTTCTAAAATTAAATATACTGGTCTAGGTTCAATATATTCTGTTGTTTGCTTAGTAACATGGTGGTAAAAGTTATTCGTGATATCCAGCTAAGTCATATGCAGAGCATGAGGATGTTTCACCCCTCCCATTGCAAGAATCTGCTGACAATGTTTCAGAAAGGAGGGGGCGGATTTTGCTCATCGCTTCTTCCACTCCAGCCTGTGAGAGTCTGAGTGTTATCGGTATATAGATAAGGTGACTGCTCAAGCAGCTGTAACACTCATGCAGTCCGGTGTCTCCGATTAGTCTTTAGTTAGTTTATGCAGTAGCTGTAGAGAATAAAATAAGTTATACTTCAGAGCTGTCGCTCGTGTGGTTCATACTCTGCTGACTTTTGGAACTGAGTTTGGTGCTCACAGCTCTAAGTTGTGAGTCCATTGCACTTAGACCTGCTTCCTGCAGTGGAAGGTCTCTGGAAGTGCTTTCCAGCTCGCCTGGCCCAGTCGGGGCTGAAGAGGTTGAGCCCAGTCGTTGGCACTGGCTCAAAGGCGAAGCTGACAGAGCAGGCCCACCAAAATAAATGGACATACTATGTCATCCAATGTTAGTCATATTAACGCTCTGTGTTTTAGTTTAGTTAGTTAAAGCTATACAAAAGACTTAACCTGTTCAATTTCTGCCTACCACACAACTGTTCCAGGGACAAAACCCCTATTTTCCTCCAATGCCAACCTTAAACCCAAGCCTAGGCTGTCTTAACCCCATTAAGCACAATGTGACACATTTCTTGATAGGCATGGCTTCCATTGTACTTTTAAGTTGACTGTACAATGAATTCTTAATGGTGTTTAGCTGCTGAACATGCCTAAGCCTCTTTGCAAAGTCCTCATATTTACCTTTTGAAGAAAGGGGTGATTCTTTTGAATCCATCCACACTTGTTGTGTAGTAGTATTTGCAGAAAATAATTTTCAGGGACTGCCTGATCTCAGATGAACTCACCATGGGAAAGTTGTATCCTGGTTGTTAGGAGAAAAAGAACAAACTATAGAGATTCCAAGGACTAGGAAAAAAGACAGAAACAGGAAAAGTGCACTGAGGGGAAGGGGAAAACAGCAGCTCTTTAGGACTCCAGGGATTCCTCTTGCCTGATGTCTGAGCAATTCACCTATCAGTCTAAAATTCATTGGTTAAAATCACAGACAGATGGAAGCAGCTAGCTGGCTCATTTCACAGAAATCACTTATAATGGTACCTGCACATTTAGTTTCATAACTTACTTCTTAGGAGGGCTAGAGATGTACTTTTTTAAACAAAAGCTTAGAAACTGGGGCTTCTGCCCAGAGGTGCCACTGAAGGCCTTCATGGGTCCCACGTTGGTCACCCCTACAGCTCACAGACAAGACCAAACTGCACTTCAAGATCTAACTGTATAATGGAAATAAATGTATAACAGGGGTAAGATAATTTAGCGCCCTTCAGTTGACATTAGGCTACATCTGCCATATTCCCTGACCATTTGGCCACACCGATTGGGGTTGATGAAAGTTGTACTCTACAAACATCTGGAGAGCACCACCTTGGCTGTGCTATGAAGTTTATTTTACATCCTCCTTTGTGCCGAAAAACAGCCACAGCAGTGTAAAATAGTGGCATATGTGAATGTCTTACATGACTTGATCATTTATATTAGCTCTATTCCCTTCTAAGTTTCCAGATCCTTCAGGTTTAGTACTATGCACAAAAACATTATCAGGTTGCCATGTTTGTGGGAAACATAAAAGCTTGTGTCTAAAATAGCTCATCTAGTGGTCTTCTAATGCGTGCACTTTTGTGGAATTGGTTTACATCCCCTCTGTTGCTGGCTGAACTGTGATCTGATAGCAGGTATAAAATTATCCTAGCAGCAAAGCCCATTGTGTTCATAAAGCATGTAGAGAGCATAAATTCCAGCAGTGCATAAAGAACAGTGGGAGTTGATAGCACACTATTCACTTTTAAATAATCATTGCACACCCATAGGCTACGGAGGATCAGACTCACTGGGGTAAATGCTTGTATAATGCAAAGCTGTGCATATCTACCTAGGAGTAAGTCTGGTTGAATTTGATGGAACTTGCTCCCATGTACATGTGTGGGGGATTGCAGCCTTAATATGATTTGTAGCCAACTAGTGAGACCACCTATCAGGAGATAGCAAGCGTGGAGTGCATGAAGACTAGGGAAGGGCCCTAGTAGAGTGACAGAGCATCTGCTCTATGTGCAGAAGACCCCAGGTTCAATCCCCAGCATCTCCAGGTAGGAGTGGGGAAGACCCCTGCCTGAAACCCTGGAGAGCCACCGCCAATCAGTGTAAACAATAGTGAGCTAGATGGACTAATGGTCTGGTTTAATGTAAGGCAGCTGTTCCTGTGATTTCATTTTTCACTTTAATTCATTTGGTCGGGATTACACTTATTATTTTATAATTATTTATTAAATCTGTAGACCACTCTTCATCTGTGGATCTCATGGCAGTTCAAAACATAAAAATACAGGATAAAAAGACAAAATACATAATAAAAAAGAACAAAAAGCCCACAAGCCAAAAAAAAAACAGCAACCCACCCCTCCCACAAAAACAGTTTTATGTACAGTATTTAAAATTGCTTCCCAGTAACTGTTGTTTCTTTGCAAGGGGCCTCATACGCTCATACAGATGGGTTGTGCCTTCCTGCCCTAAATAGAAATTCTCAAAACCATTTTTGTTAGGTTATGGGCCTCCTCTTGTCTCATAAAGTCTTGGACCTTTGTCTACTGCATTGGGCTAAGCTGGCTTTGCTGGCAGAAGATTCTTCCATTTTAGATTTCTTCAGTGAGAACAATGCAGTCATGTTTGTATACACACAGACCCATTTTGTGGCTTCCAATTGCCCTTTATACTTTGTATTGGTATGTGTATTGGTGTATGTATTGGCGAGCTTTGGTCCATGGGGTCACGAAGAGTCGGACACGACTAAACGACTAAACAACAACATTGGTATGTGTACCCAGTGTTTAGGAAGGAAGGAGAGGGATTGTGACAGCTTTTCCTCGCGGTACTTTGTGTTTCTTCCTGTCATTAAATGTCTCTCTTATCTATCCCAAGGCACAGATTATTTGATGAATATACATTTTTAAACTTTGCCTGCCTGAGTAATTAACGCTACCTATTTTGCTCAGCATAGAATTCTTTTGTTTTATTTTTGTCATGACTTCAAGCCTGGCACCTCAGGTGACAATTTACTTCACATTGCATTGCTTCCAGACATGGCTGTCTGCCATGCTAATATTTCTTCATTTTCAAGTCAGTGATACTGTTATTACCATTGATGGTGTTACATTTTGACAGTACTGTGGTGGTTTTTCTGCAACAAGGCTTGCTTGCTGATCCATAGTAAGAACTTGATTGCCTTTGAGCATATTTTTCTTCTGTTTTTATTGCTTACGGTACTTCCTTGGGCTAACCCACTACTAGAATGTAAGGGAGATAAGGCTGTAAGTTCTCAATGAAGCAGATAATTGTTGCCGCAATAGTCTCCTTATGTGAATTAGAAACAGTAGTGGTTATGTTGTTCCACAGCTGCTAGAGGCTTCTTGATCAACATGACAGGGGCCATTGTGCAGATTCATAGTGACATGATAAGGACAAGTCCTCAAGTTTGGTGGCCATATTGGAAACATTTGGGACAGTTCCTAGCTAATGAAAAGTTGCACTTATAGAAAGTTCCACAAACAGAAGTGGTGATTTTCACAGATTCCTCCTTTCCCCATGCAGAGTCATGGCACCCTATGAAAATCTGGATTCCTATGGAACAGTGAAGAGGTTGATACCAGGGGCTGCAGCAGGAAGGGGGAAATTGGCAAAAATTGCTTTCCCCATCCTAAATGGAATAATTCCTTTCAAGTGCAGTGGGGTTCCATTAGATCTGACCTGCTGCATCTCTCTTTCTTGCTTTGTTGACAACTGAAAATAAATATTATGGGCTAGTAGAATCATACTTCCATTCAGTGTTTCAAAGGATGAGATGCTACCAGTCTCCTAAGGGCATCTTGTGAATGATGAAGAAACTAAACATGTAGGTTTTGAACCAGATATAGAACAGTGCCATTCAGTAGTATATTTGTTTTGCAGGATTTGCTAATAAAACATGACAGGAAGGCATTATCAGTATCTCTGAGCCCGTAGAAGAGCAATTATACCCAAGGGCCAAGTTGAGTTCAACATACAAACACACCTGTCTATAAATCTAAAGGAATACTTCTGTATCTTTACTTTATGTCTGCTTCCTGCCATGCATGTAGACATTATTCCTTAGCTACAATAGATAACACATACATTCTGCAATCATGTTCCTGTATCTGTTTATGCTATATTTACATGGGGCATGGTACATTCTGCGAATGAAGGCCATAAATGGCCTGAGTTCAGTATATCCTGAATATTCAGTATATCCTCCTTATGAAAACCTGGCAACCTTCTAGACCATCTGAAAGGCATGTGATTCAGGTCCTGTTACTCCGCCCTCCGCCAAAAACCAGCTAACACAAAATAAGAGCTATCTCTGTCGAGGTACAAGCCCTGTGCCACATGCTGCCCAGAGAAACCTGATGGTGTCACTCAGTATTAACCTTCTAGAGGCAAGAGAAGATATAATTTGATTTGCCTAGAATCCTGGTATTGTATTCAACTTAATCATTGACAGCATGGAATGCCTTCCATGAGTGCAATGGAAGAGCCCTCTCACTTCCCCCCAAACCCACTCTGGAGGGTTAGGCGAACCTCCATGGCAGATCTGGTGGGTGTTTGGGAGGAGTTCCATTGTGCTCAAAGAAGTTGCAGGTGGTTGGACTAGATGACCCTTGGGTCCCTTCCAACTCTAAGATTCTATTATTCTAAGCTGTGCCTCACACACAATGATTTTCTGGGATACAACTCCTGATTATTATTATTTTACTAATTTAACTAATGATAGGGTTTTCTGATGCAATATTTAGTATATATTTTTGATATATTCACTTCTGTCTGTCACCTTAATTTTAGCTCCAAAAAAAGTGTTACAGAAATTTTAATAAGAAAGCCATTGAAATGCATCCTAATGGCTGTGTGGGGTTTCTGTGCTTTCTGGACATGGCTGGCACCATTAGCCTCTTTTCAAAATGGAAGTCTAATTTAAATAGTTCGTTTCCTCCAGCTGTGGCTCTTTCTGAACAATGAATTGGAACCACATAGCACTTTACAGGCCTTAAGTGTAATAGTGCTTCATCAGGATATCATACCAGGCTGCCACAGATGTATTGCCCTTGTAAACTTTGCCGTGGACTTTCTATAAAGAGATGGAGAACCATACATTGGCATTTATCATACCTGTATGTTATTTATGGCCTTGTAAAGGTAAGAAAAATGGATGTTGCTGCAGACTTTGGGATGGCTTCCTGTACTGCTTACAGTATGCCTTTAGAATTTGTTGGTATGACTGAAATACAAATGATGAAAACAACAGGTCAGATAAGAGATTTCAAACGGTATTATACCCATCCTCGAAACCTTTCCTCCCAAGACTGCTCCCTTTCTCTTTTCATGTTCCACATCAACCTCCTTCAGTGTTGTAATGCATGATGCTCTGCTTCAGTACATGCTTTAGGCAGATTTGATATCGTCTCTGCGACAAAATACCTTAGAACTCTGTTGTTCTAGTGCATTTTATGTTATAAATTACAGAACTGAAATTGAGGGCACACGTAATTTCTCAGTGTGGCAGAGCTGAAACCTTCCAGACATCAAGTCCTGTTCTTTGGGCTAGTAGATGAAAGCTTGGTTCCAGAGAAGTTCAAGGATGGATATGTGTAGCCATGTTGCCATCCATTTACAGCCCTGCCACCATAAAGGGTGCTGCTCCAGGCTCTCTGCACCACTAGGAGCCACCTCATTCTTCTTTGGATCCTAGACACAATCAGTTTTGTTTGAGCAGTTATGCCCTGCCTATCTGTAATAAAATATGGCTTTCTATATTATTTATGCAGTCCAACAGGTTCTGTAAAAAAATAATCCAAAAAATCAAAAAAAAAATCTGGATTGGATCAAGATTAAATCTACTCCCACAGATTTCAATGTGACTTAGGTTAGCCATGACTATCTGGTTCCATTGATTTCAGTGATACTAAAGCATTACTTACTGAGTTTTCACCCAACCCTCTCTTATAGATATTTACTAATGGAGATCTGTGGTAGCTGTGAGATTTTCCTATACAGCTTATGTTGAAGAAAAGTGTGACATTGCAGGCAGAACCCTTTTTATTTCAAACTTTGAATAGTGCTCTTTCATTCCATCTATCTTTTTTTATTTAAAAAAGGTTATTTTTCCTTCACAAATTTAAGAAAATAAATTCAAGTGCAGACAGAAACCTAATTCATTATTCTGTGACTTTGTGAGTCTAATGGAGCAAGAGCAGCTGTTAAGAGTCTCTGAATACCTGAGATTGAACTCTTCAGAGTAATATGGAGACAATATCAGGGACCAACATACACAGTGTACACAATGCAAAATTAATTGGAAAATAGATGGTCTGAAAGTTAAACACGCTCTTGTGGCCTGTAAACATTTGTTCTGCAGCTAAAATAACAGCACTATATTAAACTAAAAGAATATTTGCTTCTAGCATTTAAGTGAAATAGATTCATTAACCACCATTCATTTTGTTTTTAAGCACTGGATTACATGACATTACTTCTGCTCCTATTATTAAACAATGTATCAAGTAAACCTAATGCCAAAATTAAGCCCATGACAAAAAGATGTAAGAAATTGAATTAGCAACTTGAAAATATGTACTTGGAATTGAATTGCTCGAAGCCAATTTATGTTAGTCCCTATGGTGGTCTGATAGAGCAATATATTGGTGCTAGCAAACATTTTCAAAAGGAAGTTATCACTGATATTTCAGAACCCTGAATAGTATTCAGAAGACCTGCCAATCTTCTCATTGTGTGCTCATCTGGTCTTCTAAGTTCAGTTGCAAAATTAAGGAATGCATTTTTCCGATTTTCATTAATCTAGTTTTAGAACCCATATTTCCTATCTTAAGCTGAATTATTTACCCACAAAGTTAGCACTTTCCTTCCTTCATCCTTTTTTTTTTTTGTGGTCAGGGTAGGACTTAAATAGAGCATATATCAGAGATTTAACTGAGAGGAGAATGTGATGCTAACATCCATTACCAAGATGAAGGTCTACCAGGCTTGCATGTTGAGAATGCTGCTTTATGGAAGTGAGTCCTGGGCAACTTATGACCACCTTCCACATGCAGCAGCACAACCAGACACCTTCATCTCCTCCAGCTGCAACAAAATATGTCTGTCCCGCATCAGTCTCTACAGCCGCAGCAGTCGCTGCAACCTTCCAACAGCTTGATCTCACCCCCAAAGGCAAACTCCTCCATTGTTTCCTGAGACGAATGGATGGATGCCAACAGAACTGAGAGGACAGATAGGCTTTCTATGTTGTATAGAACGCAGCAACATGTCTTGACAATAGATTGAATATAGGTGCAAAGGAAAAGGATGATTAAAAATATGACCAAGGCTTTGTTCTGGGACAATAGAGTGGATGATGATGCTATCATCAGAGATGAGGAGTAACTGAGGAGAGGCAGGGTTAGGGTCAAATATGAAAAATTCAGGCTCAGGCATAATTGAGTTTGGGGTGATAGACATTCAGATAGAAATATCAGAGTATGTTGGAGACCTGAGACTGGATGAAGGGGGAAAGGACCAAGGTAGAGTGTTTTTTCCAGCCTCCCTCCCTCGGTTGGAGTCCTCATAATGCTACCCTGACTCTACGCAGGAACTTCAGTTGCTTTCTAAAGGTGAATTCACAACCATTTAGGTCAGAGCTTTCCAAACTGTGTCATAACATGTGTGTTGGCTGCAGTGTGTAAGTGTGTCATGCAAACACCCCCACACTCCTCCCAGGGCTGGAAGGGGTTAATTTAACCTCCAGTTTGCTTGTTGTTGTTGTTCTTTAGTCATTTAGTTGTGTCCGACTCTTCGTGACCCCATGGACCAGAGCACGCCAGGCATTCCTGTCTTCCACTGCCTCCTGCAGTTTGGTCAAACTCATGCTGGTAGCTTGGAGAACGCTAGTAAAACTGAATTACTGTGTTGTGAAATGATGCATGTCTAAAAAGTGTGTCACCAACATGAAAAGTTTAGAAAGCTCTGGTAGGTTGTAGTTGTGTGATCAAACCACAGTGAATGGGTTCCTCCCATTGATGATAGGTTTTGTGAGTGCTTCAACCAAAATAAGGGTATGAACTTAAATGGAAACGGGCCCAGTACTAAGTAGGAATGGAGTACTGTGTTAGAAAGTAAAACCCATACCAACAAAAGGACAATAGCTGATATGGTTCCATTCTATGATATTGTAATTTCAATGTTACCCACAAAGCGGTGTCAGTATGCAATTCTCAACTGGTTCAATGGGTCTTGTGCCCACAAGCCCTTTTCAGATGAATGGAGGCTGTGTATTGCAGTCGGCACTGCCCTCTAATCTGTTGGGTTCAACTGGGATGTTCTGTTGCAGAATAGCACATTGTCAAAAAAAACATTGAACTATTTTAAGATGTAATATCTGAATACTTGTTTTCGTTTTCTTTTCTTTTTTGCTCCATGTTTTCATCATAAACTAAAAGCTGGGTGAAATGTTTGCTACTTCAAGGGTTTGGAATGAACACAGATCCAAAGGGGAGGGAGACCTTTTGCCACTCTTGATTTTGCAGTGTGCGAAAGCAGGCATGCTAGCAAGAAGTCAAAAGGAGATGATTATCCAGCTTGCCCAGAGGGTTATGTGCAATGGGAAAACAAAATTGAGAAACTTTGCTACTGTTCTGAAAAAGATGAAAATTAAAAAACAGTTACTAGCCAGGGGCCAAATGTAGCTCTAAACCATCATTTAAAACATTTTTTTTCCATTCAATTTTCTCCTTTAAGGATCTTAATTTCCTTGGAGTGCGATGAAACACTGCTAGAATTCAAGTTCATTTGGGAGAAAAGGTGAAAAAGGGTGGGTGTTTTTTCACTGGAGCAACAAAATGCTGAACTGCTCTAATAAGAAAGCTTTTAAGATGGTGGGATGCAATCTAATAATGTACCAAAACACACATTTTAAAGGGTGGAAAGGTTAGTAGAATTCATTCAATCTTGTCTTGCCTTTTCTAAAAGGGAGAGGGGTGTTAAAGGCTATCAGTGCATTGCTGACTCACATTTGCTTGAGAAGAATTGGAAAGCATATATTCACTAAGAAATTGCTCAGGACCAATTCACATGTAGGAAATGTATTGTAGGGCTTAAGCATAATGAAATGCTGGTTGTTTTGGTTCCTAGTTTGGTATTGCATTTTCACACATCTGAAGAAATGAGCTCCAGTTCCAGAGACCTTCATACTAATATTACCGTAAGTGTATAATTATTTAATGGAAGGCACTGCTCTTTATAGGATTTGCTTATGGAGACTAACATAGCTACACATCTGGAATGTTATTTTGATAAACTGAACATTTCACATACATTCAAGTTCTCTCCTGGACCGACTTACAATTGGCAGGCCTTACTAGAGGCTGCTAAAAATGGTTAAGAGATGATGAAGGGCCAATTTTCCTGCCATGGCTTCTCCTGTGCTGCAGCGAAATGATTCCTCCTTCCGTAATGCTGAGTCTTGTCTTGGTGCCATTCAGGGGCTGGACTTCACAGTACTACAAAGAACTAGTGGTCTTCCTAAATATAAATTTGTCTCCATAGAGAAGCAGCTGTAAACATCTGGGACTTTGCCGTATAAGCTTTCCTGAGTAGAACTTAAAAACATGACAGACAGATTTTGGAATCCCTTCTAACAGTAAACATATAATAAACATATTTTAAAACAGCAAAGGAAACCTAGATTTAACACTATGAGCTGAAACTAACATTTTATCATGTCTCTTTTCTTGCAAATATGTTGAACATTTTGTAATGCAGAGGCAGAGTGGAACTGAAACTGAATTTGAGGTCCATGTTGAATTTTTTTCTCTTCCCTGGCAAAGCATTCTATTTTTGAAAATGATTTATTATGATCTATTCAGTCCACTTTTTTATTAAAAAAAAGAAAGGAAAAAGAGTAAAAAACCCTCCACACCATAACATTCTTAGGATTATAGTGAGGTTTGCTTCAGGGAAAGAATAATACATATTTTCCCTGAACTACTAACCTTTTCAAGTTCTCTCTCTTTCCCCCTCTTTCAGTGCAGTGTTAAAGTTGTTGGCAGGTAAAGAATTGCCGGGAGGTGAACTGACATTATAAATGTCAGAGGTCAGCACAGGTGTAGGAGGAAAAAGAAGCTGCTGAAAAATCAAGCTTACCTTTTGTGGGGAAACCTTCCAATTATATCTTTGTTGAAAGTAACAGTCCAGTTTCTAGACTACTTATGGCTTCAGCACTAAAAATAATAAAATAAATTTGAAAAGGTTATACATGTGGCCAAAAAATACATTATTCCTTGCCTGAAGGGAACACAGCCATCTTTTGAAAATACATTTTTTTACCATTCTAGCTTTATAAGGGGGATTGTGTTCTATGAATTATATCTCTTTGTATCTCTTCATGCTTTGAGAATAACAAAAAATGAAGCCCCGGGCTTTAGTCACAAGCCAGGCAGTGTCACAAGGTGACACTCATTAAACAAATTCTCTGTGAAATGATGCTTGTTGCAAATTCTGCTAAAGAAGCAGCACAGAAATAGAATTGCAGAGCTTTGGGTGGAAATGGAGTGCATAGAAGGTACGTTTTAAAATGCATTGCAACCTGAAAGCTGCAAATCCAACTTTCCTTCTCTAAACCTTGATTTTGTGGGTGAGGAAAAGGTTTAAATAATATCATACCTTCTTCCTGTCATGCAAAGAAATACCTTATCTCAGATTGAGCCAGAGGAAATGTCTTATAATATTAGACTGTATTTCAATTTCTAGCACATCCAGTCATTCCTACAATTAATTGGCCTTTTAACAAGATATTCAAGCTGTTTCCCATGTAAGCAAGGCTAGGCAGTTCAGCACTGTGTTTGCTAGTTGGGCAGCTTTTGTAGAAAAATACTGCATTTGGTATTGTGAATACAAAAATACAATATTGTTTGAAATACAATGCTTTCTCTTTAATGTATGTACTTTAGGTAAAGGTAAAGGGACCCCTGACCATTAGTTCTAGTCGTGACCGACTCTGGGGTTGCGGCGCTCATCTCGCTCTATGGACCGAGGGAGCTGGCGTTTGTCCGCAGACAGCTTCCGGGTCATGTGGCCAGCATGACTAAGCCGCTTCTGGCGAACCAGAGCAGCGCACGGAAATGCCGTTTACCTTCCCACCAGAGCGGTTCCTATTTATCTACTTGCACTTTGACGTGCTTTCGAACTGCTAGGTTGGCAGGAGCTGGGACCGAGTAACAGGAGCTCACCCCGTCACGGGGATTCGAACCACCGACCTTCTGATCGGCAAGTCCTAGGCTCTGTGGCTTAACCCACAGCACCACCTGCGTCCCTTGTATGTACTTTAGTCATCCTGATTAGCAGGGCTCCACAGTTTTTACTTGCAGTGGCATGTGTTCAATCGCTTTCTGGAGAGGGTGATGAGCCCTGGACTCCCAATCCTGGAGGTGTGGGGTAGGAAGGACTGCTAACGTGATCCATAGAAACACAGGAAGCTGCCTTACACCAAGTCAAACTATCTGGTCTTTCTATTCCAAATAATAGTGGATTCATCCCCAAAGTTGAAGGAAAGCATGCAATTTGGGGTTTGATTCTGCCTCAGGGTAGGGGTACAGAGGTGTAGCATCTTTGCTCTCACCTGCCAGATACTTCAACAACCCAGCAAGTATAGAAACACAACGTAGCTCCAGACTCTCCCTTTCCAGCTCTGAGTGAAAGGTGGGACAAGGGCTTCGTTTTTGCTTTGCATGAAATCCCCACCCTTTTCACCAGCTCCGAGTTGGGAGCTGGGAAAGGGAGTGTGGGATGGTCTCTGGTCTCATGCTGTCTTTTAGAGGTGAGGTCAAGACAAGAGTCCATGCCTTTGGAGAGGAATACATGGCTTTGGTAACCACAAGTTGTGGGTTGACTAATCCCTTCTGATTCAGACAGTTATTTTTAACAACATTCAGATCTTTTCTAGGGAAGTGTAACCAATGCTATTGTATTTTTTTCCAGGGGTTGTATAGCACTCATGGGGAAATATTAGATATTGTATGCACCTTATAATAACTTGTTGAATTTGCAGGGAATTCTCTTACCATGCAAGGGATTGCTGCTTTATTTGTTGATCACTACACAACACTCTGTAGTTCAGAGATGGAAATCATTGGAAGATCTAGACTTACCTGCTTGGCATAGAAATGTTTGAAATACTGCACTCTTGGAGGGAAAAACACACACACAACATTAGATTCCTACCAGGGGAAAAGGAACCACAGACCTTTTATGCCATCTGGAGGAACTTTATTTTATATGCATCTAATAACAATATACGTGATTATTATTTTTGTTCTGTTTCCTGTAAGAAAATTTTGGGCAGGAGGGATATTATTTATACATTCCATTTAATAAATATTTAGATAATAATAATTGAACAGCTGTTCATTTGCCAAGCACATTTGATGGCCAAAAATTGATACTTATCATAACTGATTCAAAGTCCATAGAGGTAGAGAACAAGTCTTCCCAATGCTTCCAAAATTCTATTTTTACTTAGTTTATCACTGCAGCTGATGTAGCATCAGTTCACTGATGCTCTACTAACTGTATGCTGCATAGAAACTAGCTGTGTCATACCAGCCTTGGGAGCCCAATGTGCTTTATTGTGCTGTCTTACCACCACAGCAGAGCATAGGATATGCCTGTCAATAAGAGCATGCGTAGCCAGAGCATTAAGGACAAATAGCATGGATGTTATCTTCCCTGGAACTTCACTGCCATCTAGTGATACCGTAAGAAAAATGTGCTTTGTTTTACAGATCAGCATCTTCATGACTCACTTGTCTAACTATGGGAATGACCGCTTGGGTTTGTACACCTTTGTCAATCTGGCTAATTTTGTTCAGAGTTGGACTAACCTGAAGCTGCAGACACTACCTCCAATTCAGTTGGCTCACAAGTACTTTGAACTCTTCCCTGAGCAAAAGGACCCTCTTTGGCAGGTAAGATTGCTAAAGAAACATGCTATGAGGGATAGAATGCACAGCTTGTTTAATCTTCTGTGCAGTCAGATAATCTTTTTCAGCCCTACCTGTAGATCCCAGGGATTGAACATGCAGCATAAAAATCATATACCACATACATAAAACTGCTTTCTACCCTTAATGTCAGATTATTAATCTGAATTTAACTAAGCAAAGCTTTTGATTGCTAACTGAATGTTATAAAATCAGTATCACTTTTATCATTACTCCTCCCCCCCCCTTCTATATCTCTGCTTCTTAAAAACCAGATAAAAGCAAAGTATTTTACACAACCTATTTGGAGATTTTTCTCCCCTTTTTAATCCAATGGTGCCAGTGTGGTGTAGTGGTTAAGAGCGGTAGACTCGTAATCTGGTGAACCGGGTTTGTGTCTCCACTCCTTCACATGCAGCTGTTAGTCCTTGGGCTAGTCACACTTCTCTGAAGTCTCTCAGTCTCACTCACCTCACTGAGTGTTTGTTGTGGGGGAGGAAGGGAAAGGAGAATGTTAGCTGCTTTGAGACTCCTTAGGCTAGTGATAAAGCGGGATATCAAATCCAAACTCTTGTTGTTTAGTCTTAGTCGTGTTCGACTCTCCGTGACCCCATGAACCAGAGCATGCCTTGGAAACTCTCACTTTCTTCTCAAAGCTTCTCCTTTTTATGGCCATGGAGTTTTCTTGGCAAAATACTGGAGTGGTTTGCCAGTTCCTTCTCCAGGTGGATCACATTTAGTCTAAACTCTTGGCTATGACCTGTCCGTCTTAGGTGGCCCTGCACAGCATAGCTCAGAGCTTCTTGGAGTTATTCAAGCCCCTTCACCACGACAAGGCAGTGATCCGTGATGGGGAATGGTGCCTTATGTTTGCCTAAATCCTTATGTTGAAGTTTGAATCATCCTGTGATGTCAGGTTATTGACACGTGGGTGTCCCCATCCACTTGCCAAAAATGGCCCACATGGTGGTACCAGATATTATGAATAGAAATAAACTATTTTAGCACTGATACTAGATAAACATAAATTAAGGCTACAATCCTATACACACTTACTTGGGAATAAGCCTCTTTGCACTCAGTGCTGATTGCATAGGATTGTGCTATTAGATTATAATAAGGAAAAGTGATTCCTAGCAGTAATACTTATTTTATATTCATCTTTCAAAAATTAAAGTTAAAAATTAATTTTAATGTTTAGAAATTAAACTTTATCTTGCAATATAATATGTAAACTAGACAATTTAGCTACTGTTGACTAGTAGCAATAATAATGATGATGATGATGATTATGAAAGATTGCTTTTTCCTTAACTTAGAATCCTTGTGATGACAAGCGACACAGAGATATCTGGTCGAAAGAAAAAACCTGTGATCGGTTACCAAAATTCCTGGTTATTGGACCCCAGAAAACTGGTAAGGGCTTATTGAATTGGCTTGGTAGAAGAAAATATTAGCTAGGAGCAACAATGATGAACTCAGGTTTATCTACACTGCAGCTTCTATGAACCAACAGAGCACAAGGCTGTTCTCTTTGATTCATAGACCCTGCCCCAACATTACAACTATCTACTCCAAAATGACTATTAAACTATAAGTGATTGTATAAAACAAAAAAATATTTATTTAGAGTTGTGTTCTTCCACACATAACCCAAATACCAGCATACACCAATTTTTTTTATACTTGTTTAGTTTGAACAGGAACATTTGCTTTCCTTTATTTTTATTGTTGGCATTCAGTTGTATTTGAACATTTACTGTATTTGTTATTAATTGATATTTCAACAATTGAGTTTGTTTTATGATTACCCTAAAGTGTTACAATGTTAATATAATCAAACTGAGTTATTTGCTGGATTGCCATGTTATGTTTTGAATTTATTTCATATTTGATTGATATTGTAATGATTTATTGATTTGCATTTTTGTTCTATTGTGAGCTACTTTGAGCACATTTTTAATGGAAAAGTGATATATAAATTTAAATAAAACAATAAAGCAGTGCATCTTCTGCAATGTAAGTGAATGAAATCTCAGGTGTTCTCAGTATAGATACAGCTACTACTTAAATAAATTTCAATTGAGCATTGATCCAAAAAACTTTTTAAAGACAAGTACTTTTTGTTCATTGAAGAAAGTTTTGCATGCATTTTATACATGTTTTTAAAAGTTCATTGCTGGTATAATTGAGGATGATTATCACAAAAGACAAATATGTATAAAATTAGGATCCAGTTGATA